TGATTTTTCGCGACGGAGCTCTCAGGTTGAAAGTTAGGGTGGTTAATATCTATAATACCCTTAATGAATAAAATATATAAATTAGACATAAAACAAAAACGAAATTGATATTTATTTGATTAAATAAATGATTTAAATTAATAATAATGATAAAAGAAAAAAGATAATTCCTATATATATTATGTTGTTATCCGGAAAATATATTTTAATAAAAAATCAGAAACAGAAAACACATAAATAAATACTCATAAAGAAACTTTTTAATTGTACATAATTGTTATCCGGACAATATATTTAATTAAAAAAATTTTAAAAAAACATAAATAGGTATTCATAAAAGAAATTTTAAATTTTTATATAATTCAAAAGAGAAAATTGAAAAAAATATAATACGAAATTATTACTTGCGAAGTAATTTTTCGAAACGGAGCTCTCACGTTAAAAGTTGGAATGGTTAATATCGATTATACCCTTAATGAATAAATATATATAAATTAGCCAAAAATAAAAACGAATTTAATACTTATTTGATTAGATAAATGAATAAATTTTTTAATTTTTATATAATTCAAAAGAGAAAATTGAAAAAAATATAATACGAAATTATTATTTGCGAAGTGATTTTTCGAAACGGAGCTCGCACGTTAAAGGTTGGAGTGGTTAATATCGATTATACCTTTAATGAATAAATATATATAAATTAACCAAAAATAGAAACGAACTTAATACTTATTTGATTAGATAAATGATTTAAATTATAATAATGATAAGAATTATCCATAATCTAAATATATATTTAAAAGAAAAAGATAATTCTTATATATATTGTGTTTTTATGCGAAAAATATATTTAATTAAAAAAATTCAAAAAACACATAAATAAGTATTCATAAAATAAAATTTTTAATTCTATATAATTCAAAAGAGAAAATTGAAAAAATATAATACGAAATTATTTATTAAAAGAATATAATAATATAATGATATATGTATATATTTGTGAAGTTATTTTTCTGAACTCACACGTTAAATTAAATTTATATTTATATTTTATATAGTTAAACCTTAAACATGAATTAATCATATAAAATAAAATATCATTAAAAAGGAAAGAAAATACGTGTTTGATAAAAATAAATTCAAATATACTGTATTATTATCTAAACTAATAATATTCTTTTTGTACGATTAATTTTTGAATGTATATTTATCAATTCAATTTTTCAAATGGAAAGATATATTTCTATATTTTTATCAATTAAGAAGAAATGAAATAGACTTTAAATTTTTCAAAGTTATAAAGAAAAAGAATAGTTTTTTTTTTTAATTTTTGAATGACTTTATCATGTCGAAAACTTTAATGTTTTCGGTCAAATTTTTTGGATGCAAATAATTATTTATTATGATGATTTTTAAATTTATTAAAAGATAATTAAGCCCGTATGTGCGGGCAAAACACCTAGTATTAGAGATACAAATAAAACATAACAAAAAATCAGCGAGTTGATTCATAAATAAGTCAACGAGAGGCTCATCATCTATAAAAGGTGAAGGTAAAATTATTAATTAATAAAATCTATCAGTGACCCCTGTGGGGATTTTCTTTATAGTTTTTGGGGCATTTCTCTTCCTTTTGTTTGTCTTATGTCTCGGAAAGAATCGGCTGTCTCGGCGGTGGTTATGGTGGCGATTTTGGTGGTTGAAACCGCGGCGATGCTAATTCAACAAAAAAAATGGTGCCATTTATAATTTATTTAATTTTCCTTGTTTTCTTTTTGTCAAAAAAAAAAAAAGAATGGAGTATTCATGAAAAACTGTGTATGCATTAATTATTAATTAAATATTGTTGAGTATCTTAATTTTGAAATTTCATTTGATAGTATCACAAATGAAAAAAAAATGAGTTAATTACTTACAATTGAAATGTATAAAATATTATTTAGTGACATTCTTATCTTATTAAACTTTTAGTAGAGGCAATAAATAAAACAAACATTAATCATCTTCTTTTTGAATGTCTTTCTGCCTTGTAGGTTTGGATTTTATGAGACTATCCATCCCTTTTGAATTACTTTCCGAATACATCAATATACTAAAACATGAAACAAGGCAGGTTCGGGTTTTATCAGATTATATGTCCCTTCTGAATTACTTCCTGAGTACATCTATATACCAAAACATGAACTTCATGTTTTAGAAGCAAAAAGAAGTAGTTCTCTTGGATCACAATTCGATACATTCCCATGGATCTGCTGGTACATTTAGAGAGCAAGGAACGAAAAACTCTTTAATGAGACATAATATTGGAGGAAGACTAATAAAAAAGAAGATGTTAATGAAGGACATGACAACCCTTCTACTACAGAAGCCGTGTCGGTGCCCCTTGGATACCCCAAATACCTATATGTCAAATTGATGCATCATGGATCAACAATGGTTTAGGGTGGAGTTTCAAAGATCAAATGAATTCTAAAGTTTTCGGATTACGGGCGTGCAACAGGATCACCTCAGCTCTCCATGCTGAGGTAAAAAAGTTATTTTGGGCGGCCTCATGTATGCAAAGACAAGAGGATCACCTCGGCAGTGGCAGATCCAACAACATATATTGAGTGTGGGCAAAAACTTAAAATCAGAAATAATAAAAGTAATGGAAGATTTGAACCCAGGTTTGATGGGGACAAAAAGAAATTTTAACCAACTAAGCTACATAATTCATTGTATCATTTATGCACTTTATTGAAATGTTATATTATTGTGGTGGCAACTGATCCTTTGTTGTTCCACGTAGATTCGTCAATATACCTCGGTATAGTTCGAAACTGACTGTTCGGACCTATTGGACATGATAACAAATTCTATGGATTGGCTAACATTTATGACAGAGATAGAGATATTCCAGAGACTACAAGAAAATTTTGAGGTTGTGAGTATATGTCAGATAGTTCACAAAATAGAAATGGTCGGGCTGACGCTCTAACAAAAGAAGCAAAAATCAAAGGTTACACTTTTTCTCATATAAATCAGACCCAGACAGACGAAAATGCTCTTCAGAGATTCAGTTCGTCTGCTACCACTTGATCTAATTTAGATAAATAGTTGACAAAAAAAAAAAAAATCAAAGGGGATCAGTTTGCCACAAAACCATAAATAACCGGCGCCTGAAGCTTTTACGTCCTAAACCTTAATTGTTGAAGACTCTTGTAACGTATGGCAACATATAATACCAATTCCACCCATGATCAGTATACCAGGTTAAACTTTAATCCATGTGTATACCAAGTAAAACTTTAATCCATGTATATACCAAACATTAATCTATTTTGTTAAAGAGAAATTAAGTGTTTGCATGCATTATGTGCATAAACAAATTATAGAAGTTAAATTATATTTGTTAACTTTTAGATTTATTATTTGATTACAAAATTTAGTATTAAATTTTAATTTAATTATATGTAAAAATTAAGATAAAATAAAAATCTTTATTTAAATTTATATATGTATACTAGGGGAGGTCCGCGCTACGCGCGGGATGTGATTTCAATGTAGGCAATTTTATTCCATTTTTTCTATCTGTCAACTATTTTTTTGTTCGTCCTTCATATTTTTTTTTGTTATATATTTATATTCTTGGACCATTTATATTTTATACTGTTGTTTATTAGTGTGTTTGTTTACGTGTGATATATATGGATGGTATATTGTGTAGCATAGTGATTATTGTATATTTTACATTTTGAGACTTATTTCATAAAGCATATGGTTTAATATTATAAATTTAATATTCGTTAGATTCCAAATCCATTAATACATATTTTGAGATTTTAACATTCCGTGCGCATGGTTTTTAAGGTCATTTTTTTTTTATATGGTTGTAGTTTTAATTCAGTATACTTAATATTTAAGTTTGGGAATAGTTATTTTCGTTGTTAGAGTTTATCATTTGTGTCAACAAAACAAAAACTATGGCATTTGTTATAAAATATCATGTGATGTGGGCTTAGTTATTGAATGTTTTCATATTGGTACGGAAGTTAATGCTTAGTTTTTTCTTGGTGAGTTTGATATGATATGAAACATTTTATAAATGCAGTATATATAGCACTCGATGTCGATGTCAGTATTAATAATAAGTAAGTCTGGCGATATATAACAAATGTGGTTTATTACTCAGTATAAGATGTTATGAGTATGCGTTGATTATTTTTTATATTTTACATATATGGTTCTATTAGAAAAGATTAAACGGAATATGTTTATTTAATTAACAATTTCATAAACTTTTACATTTTTCAGAGCTTTATATATTATAATTTTTAAAACTAATATTCCGATTTATTGTTGCTTTGTGTAATTTAGTTGATGTTATGTAATATTTTACAATGTTACTAAAATCTAAATTTACAATATTTGCTATTTGGTCATTCTTATAAATTATAATCACAGATAAATCACAGACAAAAAAAATACTAAACCACGGAAAATATCGTGTATTACTCAAAGAATTTTAGTTGATCTTATATTTAGATGTGTAAAATGTCATTTTTGGTAGTAGGATTTTGGTTTGGTGTTTTTGATATGTATGGCATCTCGTAATTAATTGGTAATCTGTATGCAGAAGACAACCGTAATCGGTAATATCTCAAATAAAAACTAATCAATTATTTAAAACAATTATTATCTAGCGAAGTAAATCCAAATGGCAAGGGATTTGCTCTCATACATGTTTATCATCCCATCATCAACTACTGTATGCGTACAAAAATTTAAGAATGGAACACCGATGGAATGTTCTGAACTTTAAAAACAAAATGGTCATAACGGCATATAAAGTAGCAAATTCATTAGAAAACCAGAATTCGGCAACGCACACTTTGTCCATCAGATTTTTTAAAAAGAAAAAAAAGCCTCAACGTTGAGTAAGCTCAAAACCAAAATGCATAATAGTCCAAAAGCAGAAACATCTCGATATTATTAAGAGAGCAAATCCATTGCCACTCGCACTACACCTTCCTTGCCTTCTTCACTGGCCTACTCACAGTAGCAGATCCTCCACTTCTGCTACCTCCACCAACTTCCATCTCACTGCTCACACAGCCAGTACCGTGACTCGCATCGTCCTTGCCACCATCATCACTCTAACAAACATTATCATGTTAAACCATGTATTTTATATTAATGGCATAAGGCATAAATTACACTTACTTCATCAACAAAATCAGGGCGTGGCTCACGTTCACCCTCGCGGAGGATCCTGGTGATAATGAAACTCTGATGGTTTGAAGTGAAGTTATAGGGTCCTACTTTCACTTGAAAGGTGAACGACTTTCCCACCATTTCTTTGACAAACTGAGGGAAGTCAGTCTCCTCCGGTATGTCACCCCCACCGACCTGAATGTAAATAATAACATTATAGAATAAGTATCAAACAGAAGCGCCACTGAAATAGAACCATGACCAATTAACAACTCATAGTATAATGTGTCAAATATATTATCTTCATTTATTATAATTTTATTTTTGAAGACACTAAGGGTATCAGAAGTAACTCACTTAATAATAAGAATATAAACAAAAATTGTTGTTTGATAGGGACGTACCAGTACAGTCGCAGCATCTTGGGCTCTCATGTTGAAAAGCTTCGCCATCACCCCCATCGAATCCAACAAACAACCCTTCTCCAGTTTTGTCTGCAATTGACATCTCCACACGGTAACTACGGACCGAAGTTTTATATTATCATGATATGCCATGTTGGCCGTAAAATTCGAAGCTAGTTTAAACAGAGAGATACCGGAGGACGCCAACTGCGTTGGTGTTGTTGCAAGGTAAACACGCCAAGGACGAATCAGAGCGCTGCAGTTTCTTGAAACACTTCGAACAGGAGACATAGCACCAACCCTTGTCGAACTTGATTCCAGTGACGTCACCGGCACAAATAAAATCAGCCTCCTGCATGATGCAATACTGAAGGACATCAGATGAGACACGACACAGCTGGCACGTGTTAAGATGCTTGATGAAATACCTGTGATGCAGCTGTCAAGACAAAATCATTTAACTCAGATATACTGATCTTTTCCACCTTAGAGTAACTCTTAAGCAGCGTAGCCACTGGTTTGAGGCCGGTTTAATGTTCCACCAACCTACACGTAACAGAATAATTACAGTAAGTGTAATTAGTATCACTAACTGAGGGTGTAAAATAATGAGTAACATATAATAACCTGTAGAACAACTGTTCCCCTGCACTCGTTTCCTTGTCGAAATAGATATGTGTCCCAGACGTGGCGTTTAAGAAGAGCCGACCTGCAATTTCAATATTATATCTCTGATATCGCAACATGACACATACAAAAATATACAATTAAGTGATTTTGTTATCTACCTCCAACCATTTTTGGATTCACACTGGTTGCAACGATGACTCTAGGATCAACTACCATCCTCTCCAGCTGCTTATGGATGCCAACAGCCTGAGAGTCAAATAGGCTCATAGTAACAGACGTGTCACTGCATGATCAATAATAAAATTCGATATTATAGAAACATTTATTTCCCGAATCAACAAAACTTATTGTCATACAAACGGATGAAGCAAAATCACTTACTCTTCCATTTTGATGGTCACCATAACACGGTTCTAGTCATGATGAGGCTCAGTAAACGTGCTCTTCACGGCGGTGATCTCACCAATAAGATCTGCATGATATCATGTTTTTTTTTTCAGTATGAAGTGCCTAATAGTATAAGTGAGAATTATATCACCTGGGAGTTGAGTGTTAGAGCTCGCCAACCCGAGCAGTTCACTGTAATTTCGGAAACGGAATGAATGAAGAGGAATTGGCGCAGACGTTTCGGCGATCTTAGTGAAAGATGTAGACTCGCTGAAGCGGATGAGCAGGGGAGAATCTGAGAGACGGTAGTTCTGACCACAGCGGGTCACATCAAAACCGGTAAGAGAGTACAATGCACCAGCTTCCAGGTTCGGCTGATGGGCTAGGAGACGGTTCACATGCACAGTGGCCGGCACCATGGTAGACTAAACACAATGGATACACGCAAAATAATTAAACGTAAACAACTGAAGATGACAATAAACCAATATATAAAGCTATAAAAACCTTTCACCTATACCAAATAATAATTTAGGTCGTTCAAAAATATCATTGTTCATACATAACATAGATGCCAAAAGGTTTTAAAAAATACAGACAATCTTGTAACATGTCAAACCATAAAATTTAAACTAAACTAATATCTATATAGCATCTCAGCAGCCAATATAACAAAAATGACTTTTTTTGTCAAATGGTCAAAATAAACAGATAGTCATAATAATATGTCATGTAACACTATAATATGAAACAACCAAAACGGGAATGGCGATCTAATTGTACAGTTACGAAATCAATAATGATAAACATTAAAACTCGACCAAAAAACCCAGATCGTAAAACCATACATAGAATACCTTATAACGGATGCTAATACTCATTATCATCAAAAAAATTATAAGATCTTCACATCAAACTGAAATCAGATGGATAATATATAAATCAAGCAACCAAAATCTTAGTAATACTAATCAATTTCCCAGCACACAATCGATTAAACACAACAGAAGGGGATTCAAACTCATCACCTGGGAATCCAAGAGGAGCATGTCCACACCCATGAGCTCTCCACCACGGCGGAAGTTCCTGGCTTCCCAGTAGCGAAGCAGACGGACTTGGACGGTGGAGGAGGAACGTCCGGCCTGGAGATCGGAAAAAAAGACCGTCATGTTAACCATAGCTGATTATTTTTTCAGAGAATTAGCGTATTGGGATGGAACAAGAACGGTGAAGGTTACCTTTTTATAGTTAACATCACATAAAGAGCGATCAATGACAGAGTTAAGAGGATATGAGTATATGAATCGATCGCGTCTTATCAGTTAGGAGGAAGAAAAAATGATCGTCGGCTATGAGACGAAAGCTTCAGTAACCCTAATCTACTCATGGGTCACAGTAACAAAACTACCTAGTGGGCTACAGAATATACATCAGCCCAAGGCCCATCATGTGATCCGTTTTGTTTCATTCTGACGATAGATGGCACAATACAAATGACTATATTTTGTGACATCATATGCTGAGGTGTCTTGATGAGAAGAGAGTGTTTTCTTCTTTATATATAAAGATATTAAAATTTCAATCTTGTAAAGAATATAAATTTATTACTTTTGATTAAAACGTATTAAAGAAAAGGGTGAATTGGGTTAAAATCTATAAAGAAGTTAGTAATTAAGTAACTACCCAAGACATAAATTATGTGGGGATTAACAATTGACCAGGAGAATCAAAATGACAAAACAGCCCTTCTTGTTGTTAGGAAATATTTTAGAGTAGATCTACACATAGGTTAAAAAGTTAAAAGTGTTTCGGAAAGATAATATTAGTAATGATTAATCTTTTGTAATTTTATTTTTCATGCAGTTCTTATGTCAGAATTACTAAACCTCTCGTTTGCCACTTCTTCCATAGCCACCACAGATTTTTTTTTTGTTGAACTAGTTTGACATGTTACAAAAGAAAAAAAAAAGGAATTAGCTTAACTTTCGTGTTCCATTATAGTCTTGATTTTCCAGTTATTTTAAGAAGAGTCAATGCTTTTGTTTTGGAGAGGGGAGTGGAAGAAGAACGCAATGAAGAATGATAGTTTTGGGTCCAACATTGGAAACAACGCAGATGGATGGAGCAAAGGGATGTCGTCTGGAGGGAGTGAAACTGTTGGTGATTTTCGAGATTTCTAAATCCAAAAGTTAACTTGGTGATTTTCGAGTTAAACTGATGGTGTATTATATAGATCTATATAGTTAAGTTTTAGCAAGAATGTATTTTGGGTGTAGTCCTTGGTTACTGAAAAGTTTAGCATGGTTACGTTTATTTTTGGATTGGTAAACTTTCTTGTAATCAATAAGCAATTATTTTTACAAAACTGGTTACAAGAAATTTTTGCATGGTTTGCTTTACCTTTGGCTTGTTAATTTTTTTTTGTAACCAATGATTTAATATATTATCATGAAATGACTTTGTTTTATTGTATAAATTGTTGTCTATACTGTTATACTTTTGTAAGATAAGTAAATACAGATTTTTACAATTGTGGTTTAACTTGAACTTTAGCTATTTATCGACCTTGTTTTGTTAGAAAATATGGAAACTTGTTATAGCATTGAAATATTCTTGTAACTTGTGAAGTTGTGATAGAAGGTTTTTACAAACCGGTTATAAGAAAATTTAGCAGGGTTTGCTTTTTCTTTTGGTTTGTTAAATTTTCTTGTAACCAAGAAATGTAATATATTATCATTTAATGAAATTGTCTCATTGTACAAGTTGTTGTCTATACCATTTAACTTTCGTATATAAGCATTCCAACTATTTCCAAGTGTGATTAAACTCAAACTTTAGTCATTCCATGCTTGGAAAGTAACAAAATAAAAAATCAACCAATCATAGTATTAATGTTATATTAGCTGGTATTTAATTAGAAAAGCTGGTTAATAAAAATACAAACAAACTAATTGTGAAGCACAAGTTAAACTAGAAATGAAATCTGAAATACACCGAACTAAACATAAAACTTTCAGATAACTAAACACAGTACAAACTTCATTCTCTGAAATACAAGCAAACCAAATTGAAGCACAAGATAGTAATAAACTCTTAAGGAAGCTACCGAAATTACTAAATTTTGCATAATTAATAAGCCAATTTATCTCACTGATTTACAGTTTAAACATAACAAAAGGATAAATCTTCAATGAACCCAAAAAAAACGATGACACGTAAAACTAACTCTTATCTCAGAATTGAATCAAGAGAAGAAACAGAATAAAAAAAAACAAATCATAAACAAGAAACTCACATGTCTCACACAGAGAACCAAATCACAAAAGTACATTAAAAAGAAAAATGTAAAAAATCCAGAGAAAGGCTCCTGCTTGTAGATATCAACCTTCTCAATTGCATGGAAGCGTACAGCCTTTCTCTTCAAATAATAGCTCACAAGTTCCTTATCAGTTGGGTAAAATCAAAATCCAGTAACAAACGCAGATGCCGCTACAGTAGTTGCCGGCGCAGTCGCAGAAGGCTACGAGGTCTCTACAAACAAAAATAAAGACTGTTCTTGTTTCTAGGTTTTCACTCTTCTCCAAATTTCAATAGATTAACACACAAAAAAAAGTTATTTGACAGAGAAGAAACCAAAGAAAGAGAGGATCCAAAATTAAAGATAACCTCCAGTTGCAAAAAAAAAATATTTTACTTTTTGGGGGTAATTAACTTCAAACAAAGAAAAAGAAATTTTTTTTTTAGTAAAATATAATTGGGTGAACTGAGCCAAAAATATAGTGGGGGACTTTTCTTTACATGCCACCAATAAATATATGGTAAGAGTAATAGGGATAGAATGGTCATAGACAAGCTCAAGAATTACATCGGAAATGGTGAATGTGTAGATGTCAAATTATACTAAAGTTTTTGTGTGTAGAGTGCAATTACTCTAAAGAAAATCCTATAAAATTAAAAAAAAAATTTGTTAGATATATAACAAGCAAAACGTAAAACAAATAAGATTTCTAAAGTTGTAGATATTAAAAACAAGAACAAAATTTAAGTAGGAGATGAACCTTTAAAGTTACTTCATCTTCTAACACCAATCAAAATGACATGTAGATTATTAAAAAAAATAGCTAAAAAAATAACGTTAATTTTAACGTCACTAATGTCGCTAGCTAAGTCTTAAACCCTAAATTTTAAATTCCAAACTTTAAACTCTAGATCTTAAACTTCAACTCTAAACGTTAGACCTAAACTCTAAATCCTAAACCCGAATCGTAGACTATAAACCCAAACTGTATACCCTAAATCCAAAATGTAGACCATAAACCCAAACTGTAAATCCTAAACTAAAACCCTATATCCTAAATCCAAATCCTAAACTATAAACTTAAATTGTAAACCCTAAGCCGAGATCCTATAGTGTTTATGTATAGAATTTGAGTTTAAGATTTACAATTTGAATTTAGGGTCTAGGATTTGGGTTTGGGGTTTAGGGTATATAGTTTGGGTTTAGGGTCTGGGGTTGGGATTAGGGTATAGAATTTGTATTTAGGGTATACGGTTTGAGTTTAGGGTCTAGAATTTGGATTTAGGGTTTAGGACTTAAAGTTTAGGGTTTAAGAGTTGATTTTAGGGTATAAAATTTTAGGGTCTAGAGTTTAAGCTTAGGTTTAAAGATTTAGGGTTTAGCTATCGATATTAGTGTCGCTAAAATTGACGCTGTTATTTTTTAACTATTTTTATTTAATTTAATATTTTTTATTTAATAATCTACATGGCACTTTAATTAGTTTTAGAAATTGAGGAGAATGTAAAGGTTCACAACTTAAATTTCGTTCTATAAAAAATTAGAAAAATTGTTAGAAATGCCATAAGTTAAGTATCACTTTTCAAAATTATCATCAATTAAAAAATATACTAACATTTGGGTTTATGATTAGTGATTATTGTTTAGGATTTAGTATTAAAGAGTTGGTTTAGGTTTATAAATGTTCTATAAATATTTAAAAATTATCTTAATGTTATTTTCTTGAAAATTTAGAGTATTTATGAAATTATTAATGGTAAATTTGAAAAAACAGTACCAAATTTGTGGTAGAATTGACATTTCTCCAAAAACTAAGGATATTAGCCATTATTAGGATTAGAACATTACAGTTTTTAAAAACTTGCATAAAATTTGAAAGAATTCTTATAGTAATAAAAATCAGAAAAACATAATTAAATAATAATTTGAAAACTGTAAAAATATTATTATATTTTTATTTTATTATTACATTATTTATTGTTATATTAATAATGAACTATGATTTACCACCATATTCTTAAGAACTTACCAAAAATATAAATCAACAATAAAGGTAAATATTTATGTTACAATTAAGTTTTAGTCATGTCATTATTATTATTATGCCATATCATCATTTATTTTGTAAAGTTATTGTAGTGATGACATATAACAAATTACTTATCAAATCTTACACTATTAAAAGCTCTAAATAAGAGCATATGAGGTTGTCCACGTCACCGAAAATAATAAACCAATAGAAAGCCATTTTTTCGCCGCGTCATTGCCACATGAGACAACATAAGAGAAGAAACGGACCTTTGTCATGTACTCGAAACGTAAAACCTAATTCGATCTTCCTCCGTTCTTCTTCGTTACCCTCTCTCTTCTGTAATCCATCCTCCACAATCACTTCTTGATGATTTCCTTTCACCTCCTTCTCTTTCTCATTCTTAACCAAAAGCGAAGATTCCTCACTCACAAAAACAAACTTTCCAAGCTTTTGATTTGAAGCGCCTCTTCCTCCGATGGCCACCTAACGTATCTGAACTCAACCACCGGGACTCAGATCCAACTGTTGGGATCCAACATCTCGACGATAGTTGACGTGTCCGCACGATCCGGGAAACCCTGTTCCCGTAGTTCAAGGCGCTAGGCCTATCCTTGTAAGGCATCCTCTGCTCGGTGTAGGTGATATGATCAGATCCATCCCTCAAGGCCTGTCGAATAAAGGGGCCAGGCCCATTACTCGGTTCACACGAGCGAGGAGAGCCTTTAGGCGCAACGCGACAAGGGAGTCCGTGCGAGCTTACGTCATCGTCCGTACCGAGTAACACGATGAGGCCCACCGAGGAGGCCCATGGAGCGAAGGATACGACCCATTAGGTTTTCCGTACAACA